TTGGGGTGTGGGAATTCAGTGTCCCCTCAGTGCAGACACTGCCACCATCCTTTGGGGTGTGGGAATTCAGTGTCCCCTTCCTGCAGGTGCAGGCACACGGATGGTCAGGCAGGCTGGGATCCTCCTGGTTTGATGTGTTGGGATCATTCCCTGCCTGTGTAACGTGGCCTCTCAGTCACAGCCCATCTCCTCCCCTGCAGCCCCAGCCCCGCTGTCCCGCCTGGTTGTCCCTGTGCTCCTGGCACTTGGCTGGATCCTGGGATGTGCCCTCATGGTTTACATTGTCTTCTCCTGATGGCAGTAAGTGACTGGCACGTGCCACATACCACCTCTGCTTCCCTTGCTTGGCACTGCCACCTTTCAAATGGAATTTGCTTTGTCTTGCAGGACAGAAGAATTTACAGGGATGTTGATTAGAAGAACCTGGAAGTTCAATTGAGATTTCTAATGGCTAAAATAAGTATAAAATGAGTTATTTTTAATATCAACACTGTAAACATGGTGTACGCTTTTTATCCACAGTGTTTCACGTGCTAATTAGAGCTTTAGGAAGAGTCACCAAACCAATTTCCCGGTTTCCAAATGGTTTATAATGGGGTGAGTGGTTTTGGAGTCCTGTATAGGTGGACACCTGACTGCCTGCTGAATAGCAAACTTGTAAAATAGCTAAGGAGCTTCAAACTCGTTAGAAGCAGGCAAGGGTTAATTTCTCATGGGGCCTGGGGAAGTATTTTTAGCCTTATTATGGGGAAGATCTATTGGAATCTATTGTTATGAAACAGAAATATGTACGTCCTTCGAACTGAAAACCTCAGGCTTTTTTAGGGTTGGGAGGGCTGTTGTACAGCTGAGTGTGCCTGGAATCATGGCTCAGGCTCACTCTGGCCCCCTGACTGTCTTGTACTTGGGGGGTTTGTCTTTTTTAATTATGATTGGAGATAATTATATTCCCCTGATGGATAATGTGCCTTGAGAACTTCCAGCGACTTTGCCATTTAAATCAGAAATAATCGTCGGATGATCTGAGCTGCTGCATTTTCACAGACAGCCTTGAGCTTTTGAGCATGAAGGGTTTTATACTGAAGAGTTGCAGTTCTCAGTAGACAAAATCATTAATAATTCAATCCCCAGTTAAAGCAAAGAACTGACTGTGGGAGACATGTCTGGGAGATCCCAGCAAGATGTACGTTTAAGGGAATGTGAAAAAAACCTTGATGACCCCTGGTGGGGTTAAACAGAGAGAGAAACTATTTTTTTGGCTCCTGCTTACACAGTTTGTGTAAGTTTGAGAATGTGAGGAAGGCACATCAGTCAGACATCCTGTCTCCATCTGTGGGCACTGTCTGTTGTCCTTTAGGAATGGAAACACAAACATATTTGTCTGTAGCCCAGCCGTGAACATTCCTTGGCCACTCCAGCAGCCTCAGCAACAGCACTCAAGTGTGACATTCCCTTTGGGAATTGTCTCAATACCGAGTTGCTTCACCTGCAAATGACCTGAGGGCACAGGGGGGCTGTTTCATCAGGTGTCCTGAAAGAGAGGGGACAAACCCTGCAGTCTCTTGGAGAGCTGGAGATTCCCAATCCCTGCAGCAGGTGAGGACCTCCAGCATCACTGTCAGTCACTGCCAGGTGAGAACATCCCCTCCAGCTCAGCTGTACAGGTGGGCTGTGTGAGCAGACACCTCATTATCTCTGAGCCCACCCTGACTGATCCCAGCTCTGACTGACACAGGGCCAGCAGAGACTCCATAGAAACCATGTCCGTGTTTTCACATCTCAGCTCATTTACCAGGCCTGGAGGGAAACGATCCTGTTGGCCCAAGTGGCTCTTTGGGTGTCTCACAACACTGGAAATCGAATGTTTCCAATTAAAATGTTACAGAGCTAAAATATAAACACTACAATCTGGTTTAGCTTTACCTGATTTTTGAGAGCAGAAAGATCTGATTTGGCAGAGCAAAACAAAATAACTTTCTAGGCTGGCTTCAGTATTGTCAGACTGACTCTCTGTGTACAAAGGGAAAGTTCCTGCCAGTTTTGTAGAGTAATAAAAAGAGGATTATTCCAAGAAATTATGCATCCCCCACACTGTTGGAAGCCCACAGAGTGCTCTGCAAAGTGTCCTTTTGTAACCATCCTGGGACAGCCCACTGGGGTGGCTGGGCACTGCAGCTGTACCATGTGAAGCTCCCCACATGTGCAGGGCTGTCAGAGCTGCAGCAAAAGGTTTGGGGTCTTTAATTCTTGAAAAACAAAATGAGTGTTTGGGTGCTGGGTTTTTCTCTCGTATGCTGGTGAGTGATGAGAAGAAAACCACCTGTATTCAGATTTCCTGCAGAGCTCTGGTGCTACACTACTGAAGAGAGGCCATAGCTTCTGTTCTGTCACCGTGTCAGGCTGTAGGACATTCCAATATTGTTACAGTGTGATGGCTTTGGGGAATAACAACTGTCCCTAATGAGCTCTATCCCATCCCTGAGATCCAGTTCTCCAAGATCAAAGGGTCCTGCTCACCTTTAGGGTGGGCACCTTTTCCAAGCCTATTTCTATTTTTTCCTGCTGGTGGTATGATGTTTTCTGTGATCTAAGATGATCTGTACTGTTTCATTTATTATTCCTTGTTTTATCTACAAAAGCCAAGCGGAAATGTTGGAGTTGCTGTTGCTGCAGAGCTGGGTACCAGGTTTGCCCCACAGCCTCTGCCAGCTTTCCCTGTTCCCCCGACAGCTCTTTGAGTAAATCAATTAGGGACGAGTCTGTCCATCTGTCCTGGGATCTGCATGTGGCATCCTGGAAACTGCTCTGGACTCGTGTTTATATTCCTTTAATGCTTGTGATCCAGTTTAGGGGTGTTTACACAGGGCACAAGCGTGTGCACGGAGCGGAGTGTTGGGATGACACCTGCCTAAAGCAGAGTTTCTCTCGGACATTCCCAGCCCACACTGCTCCAAGGACAGGGGCTCCAGGGTGCGTTGCTCCCGCCCAGGGCTTGCCCCAGCACAGGGAGCAGGTTAACCTGCTCTGGAGGTTAACTCTGCTTGGCAGAGCCTCCCACAGCTGGGCTTACCTGTACCAGTAACCAGTCTCTGAGCACACACCCTCCTGGGGGGCTAACGGAGGGTCCTTCCCTCTCCTCCTCTCTGGGGTGGGAGTGCAAAATGATGGGCAGAGTCCCATCCCCTCCCCTTTCCCTGGGCAATCCCGGTCAGGATCTCCCTTAGGGGTGCCCAGCCCAGACAGGTGCCACCCGTATCACCCCTGAGCAGGGTCCCTCAGTGCTGGGGGGCACAGCCACCAGCTCACCCTGTGGGGCGGGAGGAGCCCCAGGGCACGGGGGACCCACTGCCCCTCAAGGGGACGGGGCCACAGAATGGTCTGGAAGGGGCAGGGCACTGAGGGGCGGGCAGGGAATGTTCTGGAAGGGGTGGGGAACTGAGGGGTGGTCAGGG